AGTGGTAATTAATAATTATATATATTTTTCTATTATTATTTATTTTTGTATACATAAAGGCCATATTTTGTAAAGTTTAATGGAAATACAAACTATAAAACCAAAACATGAGGAGTTTTCTAGAAATTGATGCATATACACCGTTTTAATGAATATGTATAATTTGTTTCTTTAAATTGAAAAACAATCCAAAAAACATACTACAAGCAGAAAAGCATGGGGTGGGTGACAGTTGTAAGAGGGACCCATCGATCGGGGTTTTGGCGGCAATTTTGGTCATTGGGCGTCTTTCGTTTAATTCACTCCATGCAGTGGACGTTGACTAAATATGTCAAACCCTAGGTCACCGACAATGACCCTTGAAAAGTCGGTTAGTTTTAGTTATATTTTATATATAAATTATCATGTCGCAAAATTAAAATTAAAAAGAATTAAATATTCTAAATTGGATGAAAATTGCCCAAAATATGTTTAAATATCAGAAAGACCTAAATCAGCTGTATAAAAAATGGCCAAAATGTATTACAACGTCAGAACATCATTAATTAGGAAGAATGTTTAAATTAAGCGGAATACTAATATTTTTTTAAACATAAAAACCCAAAAAAATCAGATAATTTATTCATTTTAAATGTATTTGAGTTGTTAATTAAATATGATTTGATGATTAATATAAATTTTGATGTAATATTGGCATTTGTTTGGTTGTGGATGATTGGTATGGTTGTATGGGGTATTTTACATCATCTAACTTTTTTCAAAATCACTATAAAAATAATCTATTTTTGAAAACGGATTTAATAACCATTCATTTTTTTTATTATTATTAAAGTTGCATATAAAAATACATGTTGAAATGCATAAGATCAGTGGCAATATGTTTCTTAATTCATTAACCAAATCGAAAATGTGTTAATACAATTTGCAGAAATATATAAACTTTGATTTAAGAGTACTCTCACTCTAATAAAACAAACCATGTTGAGATTGATTGTCATTTTAATATAAATAATAATATATTTTCATTTTAATTGTGTTTTAATTTTCAAAAATCATTATAATTGTATCAATGTTTATCAAAACCGTTCCCTTTTCAACATCATTACGGAAAATACATGTCTTTGTAAGATATCCAAAATTATCAAAATTTGAAACTACAATAATTTTATTAAAGTTTTAAAGAAAATCATCGAACAAATCGTAAATAAGTCAAAATATGTTTACATGTATTTCAAATATATATATATTGGAAAAATGAGATAGTATTTCAAATTTACATAGACGTACAAAGATGTATATCGAATATGCTATCACCAGATCCAAATTAACGAAACTTTTATCGTGGTTAATAAGTTGGCTATTCAAATTAATAACTGAATATGTGCTTTGCATTTAGATCCTAGATGTTTGAAAAATCTAAGTTTTCCTCTATTTTTAATAAACTTCAAAAAGCAACCAAAAACAAATAATTATAAGCAACCCAGTATTAAATACAATAACCAACTATTGGACCGACGGAATTTCATCTATCCGTACAATGTTAAGAAGTATCATTAAAGCCACTTTAGTGTTTGTTCCCTCACCTCTCACACGCAACTAATTACAATGAAACGAGGCATGTGCAATAGGGAACAAGTGTAAAATCTCTCTCTCTCTCTCTCTCTCTCTCTCTCTCTCTCTCTCTCTCTCTCTCTCTCTCTCTCTCTCTCTCTCTCTCTCTCTCTCTCTCTCTCTCTCTCTCTCTCTATATATATATATATATATATATATATATATATATATATATATATATATATATATATATATATATATATATATATATATATAGGGTTAGGTTATATTATTTCAGTAACTATGATATTACAATAGGGTAGCATTTATCATATAATCACACAATTTTTATCAAAAGGGTATTTTGGACAATTAACTACATTTATAAAAAGAAATTTTCGGATTTTTAGGGATGATTAATTCTCCTAATTTAAAAAAATCTGAATTTTTTAATTAATTCAATTTCAATTTTTACCGATTTTATTCTATCAGAATATTTTTTTGTTAGAATGATACTCTTTCAGAATTTTATTCTAACAGAATATTACTAAAGAAAAAAAAAATCATGAATAAGATGTTCAAATAACAAACATTCTAATATATTCTTATACATCCGAACTTAAATACAAATTCATACATATTCTTACAGACTAAAAGTCATACATTTTAATATAATTATAAAAATTCTAAAAGAATATAAACAAAAATGAATAACATTCTTAAAAAAAATAACAACATTCCGCTAGAATACTATCGTGTGCCATGTTTTCTTCTTGAATTCTGAAAGAATATTGCTGTTTTTGGATGTTGAATCTTGAAATTCTGAAATAATATTGTTGTTTTTCTTCATTCTTTGAGAATGAAGTATCATATATCTTTTTTTCATAAGTTTCCTCATCATTCTTGCATCACCTAACAACTGCACCTTAAGCATACAAATAATTAATTGCAATTCTTTTAGAATACAACAAAAATATTCTTACAGAATAAACTATTCTTACAGAATGGTTTTAAATATTCTTAAAGAATTTGTAGCCTTCTTTATCAGATCAACAACAGACTTGAAGTGGCACACTAACCACACAGGAGCCCATGTTTGACCGTTGTTCTTCCCGATTGAGTCCCTAAATCATTCCAATTGAGGTACAATTACCAATTTCATGGTTCACATCACACATTCGATTTTGACATATGCCCCAATTCCAAGACCAATAACACAGCGAACCTGAAAAACGTGAAGCACCAAATTGCGAGATGGAATTAGCAGTGCTTCGATAGCCTATGTTCTGAAAGTCTTCAAGGCATCGCACCATTGTAAAGGCTTGTTCCTAAAACTAGATTAACAAACAAAATCGCCAGTTCATTGCAACAACAACCTTCAATTGTTTAATCCAATTTTGACTTTTCATTCTTTGACCAACTATTCGACAATTGTACATCACAGGACCCAAAAATCTTGTTCATCCAACACCATGTTAATACTTAAAAGATTAATTTCATTTAGAAATCATTAGCAATTTTAAGAAACAAATGAACTCAAGTCAACATAAATAACGGGCATAAAAGAAAACGATGAACACAAAATGGATGAGCAACAAATTCAAGATACGTCTTTTACATATGGGTTGATTGTAATAGCTTTAAAGAAACGATCTATATTCAAACGTTTACAGACAATAGCATCAGTCAATCATCAAATTGTTAATTTTGACAAACAGGAAAGATTGACTTGAACACAGAATGAAGACGCAACCGGAGACTCAAAGAAAGAAAATCTTAATAATTGATTGGAGAAGGATAATTACCTGGTAATGGTTTTTGAATCTTAATGATTGATCGTAGAAGAAGAAGCAGAAGTCGTGGATTAGAAACGATGATGAGTTAGATTTAGGGCTAGGGTTAAGTAGTTGGTCAAAGAGATTTTTATGGTAATTCCCATTAATTAAGGGATTTTATTTTAATTATCATTATAAAGTTACATAATTACCCTTATTCAATTTTTTAATTATTTAAATATTCCTCAATTCCTATTGGTGCATTCAGTAACACAATAATTGTCAAAAACATTTGAACCTAGCTCTCTCTCTCTCTCTCTCTCTATATATATATATATATATATATATATATATATATGTTCAGGTTAATTTGAGATCATTCTAATTTTGTGAGACCGTTAGACCAAATCTAAAAATAATTTTAAAATGCAAAATAAATGGAAAAATTCAAAAATTCTTTTTTTAAATATTATTTTCGGAACTTGAATTAACTAAAAAAATATTAAAAAAAAAATTAAAAAAAAATAAAAACAATTCCGTTTTTTTTTAAAATACGTGAAATATTCTAAATAGAATATTACACTGACATATTCTAAAAAATAATTTTAAAATGCAAAATAAATGGAAAAATCTAAAAATTCTTTTTTTAAATATTATTTTCGGAACTTGAATTAACTAAAAAAATAAAAAAAAAATCTATTTTTTTTGAAAAATACGTGAAATATTCTAAATAGAATATTACACTCTACATATTCTAAAAATAATTTTAAAATGCAAAATAAATGGAAAAATCAAAAAATTCTTTTTTTAAATATTATTTTCGGAACATGAATTAACTAAAAAAATATAAAAAAATAAAAAATAAATAAAATAAATAAAAAAATGCGTCTCACGGTCTCACAAAATATAGGTGGTCTCAAATGAACCTAACTATATATATATATATATATATATATATATATATATATATATATATATATATATTATATATATATATATATATATATATATATATATATATATATATATATATATATATATAACACGAAAATAAATTGACATATTATTACTTACATTAACTTTATCTATTAATTATATAAAAGACCAATCATTTTGATAAGGTGAATCGTATATATACAAGATTTACTAAACTTAATCTATTTTATTTTTAAATATGTGAAAGAGAGTAGGTGTTTGATGGATCAAACATGTGTTTGGTAGATTCCTAAATTCTTTAATTTTAAGTAAATGCTCTTTTATTATCTTGGAAAACATAAGAGCAAATCATAATGCAATAAAACCAAATTACGAATATGTCCGGTTTATTTACTAGTTAATAAATATCAGCTAATTATTTCGAATTTGTAGAAGTTATTGTTTTTAATTCTGAGTTTTATCGATTTTTATAAAAGAAATTTTATTCAATTTAAATTTATATGCAATAAATTTAAACCTCGTTATCTTATTCGGCTAATTGTAAAATTATACATACAAAAATGAAAAGAAATAGCATATCTGGTGTTATAATTTTGACTTTGATCTTCAAAATATGCATATTATATTATGTCTATGAAAATCAAAACATTTGATTGTTCCAATATCTATTACGATCGGTTTTTAGACCGACACACGTAATATATAATAATAAAACAAGACAATATTCTTTACAAAATGCTACAAAAAAAATAAGATCAATCTCGAAATTGTATTCAACCGATGGGTACTACAAACTCAAATTTCTTGGAGATTCCACTCGAAAGAAATTAGAGCAAAAACAGACTAAAATCCCCGGTATTTGGCGCAAAAACCCTATCTTGATGAGGGTTTGCCACCTAAAAAATATTGCCAAAAAAGGAAAAGACTTTTGTGTCAAAGATTCAATGTATCACTGGATGCACACCACTTGCCTATCTTGCTTCCTTCTCTCTATGAATTCATGAATTCTTGATAGTGCAACGTCAAGTGTTTCTTCACTCATGTTTGCAAAACAAACTCGAAACCACCCTGGTTCTGAACAATGACAAGATGATCCAGGCGATATGTTTAGCCTTACTTCATGCATAATGGTCTTCCAGATCGCTATTTCGCTCTTGATAGTGGCATCCTCCAAGTAAGGACTCAGGTTCATCCAACAGAAGAGGCCTGCATTCCCCTCTAAGCATTCAATACCTGCCTTTCTTAGCCCGTTGATGATCATTTCATATCGTTTCTTCAATCTTTCACGGTTGATCTTTATATACTTCTGCGTAAACTCTTTGTCTGATAACATAGAAGCCAATAAAAACTGTGTTTGAGAAGAAATTAACGTGAAACTAGACATTCTCCTTGCGGTTGTCACCACTTGATCGTTGTAAGAATACACTGTTCCTACTCGGAAACCGGGGAGACCAAGGTCTTTCGAAAGACTATAAACAATATGACATCTTTCAGCATCTTTGTAGTCTCTTGATTCGAGCACTTCTGCAATGCTTACGAATTCATCTGCGTAGAATGCTGAACCTGAGTAGATTTCGTCTGAAACAAGGTGGATGTTCTTTCGTGTCACGAAGTCTAGGATCTCTTCTAAGACCTTTCGTTGAATGGTTGCACCCAACGGGTTAGAGGGGTTCGTGATGAGCACTCCTCTCACTTTTATGTTTATTGATCTTGCATGATCATATGCTGCTTCTAGAGCTTCAGGCGTAATCTGAAAATTGTTTGAACTTTCACAGTGGATTGGAACAATTTGTACACCAGTTCTCCACCTCAAATCTCTATCAAATCTGCAATGTTTAAAGCTAAAAGGTTAATAAATATTGCAAAATTTTCAAAAACCTAAGAAGTCTGTACTTTGGTGTCAATGAAAACGATTCTTACCCTGGATAGTAAGGGGTTGGAACGAGCAATGCGTCGCCAGGATCAGCCAAAATGAAGGTTAAAAGCTCATTGGCAGCAGTAGCGCCAGCAGTCAAGACAACTCGATCAGGGTTGAATTTTGCTTTTCCTCCCCTCACTTGTTCCATGAAACTTGCCATTGCCTAGAACGATCAAGATCAATACAAATAAACAAGTTAGACTTTTTTGATCACTCTTCAGAAAACAAAAGCATTGTGGGTTTGTACATTCTGTTAAAAAGACGGTACCTTTCTAAAAGATTGAAGCCCATGATAATCTTGAAACAAAGCATTCTCTCTAAAGCCAGAAACCTTCTGGCCCCAATTTGATGCTTCAAGATTTGCTTCCAAATATTCTTCAAGCAAATCAAAAGACACCTGCAAAAAGAGGGAGAAGACCTTTGTTAGCATGTGTTTTATATAAAGGGGCTGATTTCGTGACTCGAACCCTTTAAACTTGTGTGAGTGCTTACTTGATTTTCCGCTAGTCCCATCTGAATGACACCGGTGGGGTTATGTACTTCATCATAAGGGTTTTCATCATAAGCTTTCCAACCTGCAAAGTATGGAGAGTCTTCTCCATGGGTTTCTGAGACTGCTATCTTTGATAATCCAACACTTGGTTGTACAATCTCTATTGCCATGGGTATAACTGTTTCTTGCAAATGTAAAGGGTTTTCTTGAATTCAAGTCTTGGAGCAATTTGTGTTGAAAGAATAATCCTTAGAGAGAGAAAGAAGGGGGCGAGAGAAAGAGAGGATGAGGTGAGGAGGAAACTGTTTGATGAAAACTTTGTCAAAACACCCCCTATATATAGGGAGTGCTTAAAATCAAAGTATCCAAAATAATATAAAAATATACTGTGGGGCACTTGCAACATGTCAAGATATATTTTCTTTTAAAAACTTGGCAAAAGAAGCAATGATTAATTGTTTACAATAAGTAGGAAGATCAAAACCAAACTAATAAATACGAATAATAATATCAATTATCAATTATCAATTATAATATAATATAATACATAAAAGGTTCAATGATCTTGTTATCATATTTTTTACGTGTTTCAAACTGTTTGGTACAAAAGGATTTGGATCTTTGATTTGCATCTTATAAAAAACTGAACACCAGAGACAAATGAGGTAAATAAATGTATCTTCGTTCTAAAATAATTAATTTGTATATATTTAAGTATTTAACCCACTTTGCACAATGCCGGTAGAACTCAATTACAATTAACTAAAACGAAAACTACAAAAAAAATATTTACTCAATAAAAACCGTAACTTTAATGCGCAAGATAAATCATTTGCAATTTGTATATAGAATTTGATTTATAAATGTCAACGTTCCACATGTAGTATGGTGACGTTACTATAATGGCATCAAAATATAGTTTCGATCTAAACAATTATGTAAGTAACATACGGATGAAAATAAAACTTCAAAGTATATTTTCACTACAAGACTAACAACTATTAGTAGCGACAACTAATATTAGCGGCGACAACCACCAATCACGTTGGTTGTCGCTACCAATAGTGTCTGTCACCACTAATACTCTTCAACCCCGATTCGTGTGAAAAGCTTAGATTACACACTCTTAGTTGATTTTGTTGCAAATCCAACGACTTGGACCGTTGTTGCGTACATTACCAAGAGTGCCGACACCAATGAAGGCGACTGTGTCGCCGCTAATAGTCTAAATAGTGTTGGATTAGTGTCTAAGTCCATAACTATTCTGGTATGTACTTGACCCGATGGTGCATGATCCTTTTGGGTTGCCTTCACCAAAGCAACTTGATAGGATGAATTATGGAGAGAAATGATTAAATATGATTTATTAATATATTATGGGAATAATATATTAAAGGAGAAATCATATTATTTAATTAATATTAGTCAAGAATTAATTGGTAATTAATTTTGTGACTAAAAGAGATTAATTAAACTTAAGGGACTGGAATTGTAATTATAAGATAATTGCAATTTGGGCCATGGATTGCCTTATATTAAGGGATGGACGAATTCTAATGGGAAACCCATAAGGAAATCGTCCATGGGCTTAATTAAAGGAGTCTATGGGTTGCTTAGGGCTTAAGCATCCAAATTAGGGTTTCCTTGTTAGATAACCCTAATAGCCCAACTATATAAAGACCCCTTAAGGCTCAAAAACGTGGCTAAGCTTCTTGTTAGGGTTTCTACACGTTTTTGGCAGCCTCCAACCTCTCTCCTCTTCATCCTCTTGCTTATGGTGTTTGTGAACCATTAGAGGAGTGACACTTGTAACTCTAAGCATTCCAAAGTCAATTCAAGGAGGAATTGGGATTGTTATTGCTACATACAATCAAGGTAACATCTTAAACTTAATTATATGCTATTGTCGATTTCCATATGCTAGAATTAGGGTTTATAGTCTTGGATTCATAGCATGTACAATAGAGAAACCTAGATCCAAGCATTAGGGTTTGTATGAGCACATAGCATATCTTATGACCAAAACCCATCAATGGTATCAGAGCCTAGCTTGGTTTCAATTGTATTGATGCATTGTATATCTGAAAAATTCGATTTTTGGTGTTCTAGAGGCTGGACTCGCCGAGTCCATAGCTGAACTCGCCGAGTCCAGGGTGACTCGACGAGTCCAGGCTTGACTCGACGAGTCAACTCGTCAGATAATGCTTATCTCGGGATTTCTTGTTATTTTTGCATATGGATAGTTACCTTATCATGTTAGATCAATATTAATCCGATTATATGATATATTTGACTATATTTTTGATCTAAATGAAGATATTTATCAATTAATAAGATAATTGTTTCCTTATAAGATAATTGATTAATTATTTTGAGTAAATTAATAAATTGTTTTGCAAGAAATTATTAAATAAATCAAATATGGATAATTATGTGATTAAATGTTAATTTAAAATTATTTGTTATTTGATCCTTGTTGTTATGAAAAGTTTCATATTTTCCCCTTTAGGTTTTATAGTTTAAATTTGAACCCAAAAGTTTTGTTGTTTTGAAATTTAAATAGTTAAAACCCTAATGTTTTGAAAAAGGTTTCAAAACTTGCCCTCAAGTTTTGGATTTAAATTTTGATTAAATAGTTTAATTTTGATGTATATTTAAATTCTAAACCCTAATGTTTTGAAATGTTTCAAAACTTGCCCTAAAGTTTTGGAATTTAAAAGTTGATTAAAAAGTTTAATTAGGAATGTTAAATTCTAAAACCCTAGTTTTGAAAAGTTCAAATACACCCTTATGGTTTTATTAATTAATTAAGGTGTATAGTTAAAAGAGATTTAATAAATCCATAAAAGTTTAGGTTAACCAATTAATTGAATTAAAAGTGTAATTGTTAAAGTTAACCACATAGTATTTTAAAAGTTATAAAATACACCCTATACTATATATAACATAAAAGTCTAACATTATATATGTATAACTAAAACTCAATCTTACCGTTAGTAGGCCTCATTCACGAAGCTGGTCTATAAGGGGTGTTTAAGGAAATTGCCTATAAAATGGCGATTGAATGGGTATCCACTCTTACCCACCGCATTCTTGACTAGTGGAGGGTCGTTAGCCGAACGGGTAGGATAGGACGAAACCTTCCATTATAAGTATAATGAATTACTAAATTAACTAAATGTTTTTCAAAATTCCCAATCTTAGTTACTTAGGAAAAGTGAATTGATGCAATTCCATGAAATTATACTTTGTGCCCTTGCGAAGACGTTAGTGGAGCGTGTGTGGTTAACCGGCACACTAAATGGTTCTAAGCAAAGGTTGCAAAGGGTGACTCAATGTTTGTCATAGTTCGATGGAGCGTGTGTGGTTTACCGGCACATCGAATAGGTGAATGTAACATGTGAGGGCACCATGTAAGTTTGCATGGTTATTCACACCCGCTTTGTGATCCTCGGCATCCCAGTCACAAACAAGAGGGGCATATCGAGATTTAAACATGCCATTGAAAGTTCAATGAATCTCAAAGGATTTAGGAGTTTTCATAGATTTAAAACTTAAATTTCTTTTTCGTTTTTCGTGGTGGAAATTAGTGAATCGTCATTCACTTACATTCAAATATTTTGCAATTAGGGTTACGGCATCCCGAGTTGTAGAATATTGTGTTGGGTCCTAGCCTTAGTATTTCATTTGGGTGATTTACTAAGGACTCAATCTATCAACTAACTTGAATTCATTTTTCTCCCGTTTTGTAGATGTCAAAGTTCGACAACTATGGTCTTCCCAAATCCCGTGGAACAAGCATTCCACATGAAGGTGATATTCCACGATTCGATCGAGGAACAAGAGATCATGCTTCACTTCCTCCTCCTCCTCCAATTATTCTCCCTAAACCACAAGTTCAAAGGCTTGAAAAGTTCAAGATTACTCAAGCCCTTTTGGCAAGTGAACATAAAGAAGGAAAGTCGGTGTGTGCACACGTCCTAGGGATGAAGTCACACATTGATAGGTTAAGAATGTTGGGATCCATTGTCTGTGAGGAAATGGTTGTTGATTGGGTTCTTCAGTCACTTCCTAACTCATATAGTGAGTTCGTAAGAGAGTACTATATGATGAACCACGACGTGACCCTTATTGATCTCACCTATATGCTTATTGCTGCTGAATCAACAATAGTTTGGCGCAATAGAAAAAGCAAAGTTGATTGGTGAATCTGCCTTCAAGACCTCTATGGATATAGACAATGGAAATGAAAGACAAGCAATGATTGAAAAGTTTGATCATAAGAGAAAGGCGATGTCTGAAGTAGTTCCATGTGTTGTTCCAAAAGAGTCAATTTGCTTTTATTGCCAAGAGAAGGGGCATTGGAAACGAAGTTGCCCTATTTACCTAAGAGATCTAAGAGATGGGAGAGTCAAAAGTATGACTACGCTTCAGGTAAAATCCACTATCTAACTCCGTTAAGTTCCTATTCATTGATTCTTAATACATGATGTGATAAGATTGCATTTGAATGTTTTGAAGGATCGGTGAAAAGAAAGGAAGCTTGATAAGAGAGCAAGATGAATCTAATCACAAGAGATGGATCTCGATCGCATGGACTTGAAGATTGGATTTTGAGCTTAGATAGTTATGATAGAGTTGTTAGAAATTTTCCTTTTACATAGTTTTCAATAGATTTTGCATTGTAGGACAAATGTTTTTCCGCTTCTTTTATAAATAAAATAAATTTTGTTTGACTTATTTATTTATTTATTTACTTCCTTGCAATGAAATCGTTATGAAAATTGATGTTTGCATATTTCTACAATGAATGGATATGATTCATAGTTATGTTATTTATGGAAATGTCGAGAATTTACCAAATAGGGAGAGTTTCTCATCGCCCAAGTTTCAATTGGACAGAAACTTGGAATCATGCAACTTGGTTGCACGATGAATGAGAAATTTCATATTTTGGAAATTAGACTAATTCATTGACAAAGTGTCAAGTGAAGGACTAGGAGATCAAGTACACAAAGTTGCGTGTTGATCAAAGTCCACCATAAGAGTAACAAAGGCATCCATCATGATTTACTAAAGGTTTAGTAAATATGATTATGCTAATAAGATTAAGTGTGATTCTGAATTGATTGAAAATGTTTAAATCAATAGCAGAACGGATAAGAAGAGTCAAGTGGGCAGAAAGATAAAAGTTTCTCCATTCTAAGAAGAAGGGAGAGTACCTTTTATGCTTTATGATAGGTCTTAATGATTAAGAACCATATCTCAATTGATCCTCTAAGTGAGTCTTAGTACAAT